CTTCCAGCTCAGCTGGCACAGCCTGAACTCGGAGTGCCCCTTTGCCTTGCCTCAGACCCCTCGTCATTTAAACGAGCCTTGCGAGCCGCTTGGCGGCACGTAGACGAAGCCGCATCGTCGTGATACCTGCTGCCTCTCCCTTACAGGTCGCCGTCCCCAAACCCAGACCGGCAATCACTCCAATAAAGGACGTGAGCAACAGGTAAGTGCCACCGGCTCTGCCGTGCTGCTTGTCGGCTCGCGCTGGAGGCCACGAGGAGGCGGCTGTCCTGCCCCGGCTGCTGGGGGGGGACAGTGTTGTCATGCGTCCATGACGGTCACGTGCGGAGGCCCTCGGTGGGCTCAGTGACACCGTGGGCGGCAAATGCCAGGGTCAATAGCACGCCGAATATCCTCTCGAGGGTTTCTCCCCGCTCCGCGACTCCCATGCCCCTTGCAATAAGTTGTTTCTGGGATCGCCGTTATCCTTACGGCACAATGGGGGGAATTGAGGCAGGAAGCTGGGAACGTCTCTGGTTAGAGCACGTAATAAAAGGGGACGAGTTTGTCGCAGCCGGCTAGGGCAGGGGAGCGGCTTCTACCTGGCGATTGCTGTTTACGGCCTCTCGTCTCTGTAATTCCCTTCCAGAACGTCCATCTGCTCAGTGCTGTAGCAAGGCCGGCTCTGCCTGCGCCCTCTCCTCCTCCTCCTCTCCGCCCCGGGAGCTCTTACACGGAGCAGATTTTCTTCCCACCGGCGGTGGAAGAGCCGAGGCTTAGGGCGGCCGAGGCGCTTAGGGACCCCGCGCTGCCTGGTGCGATGCAGGCTCCCCGCTGCCAGCCCCAGGGGGCACCATGCCCGTTTTTTTTCCCAAACGGGGGCAAGCCAGGCTGGCAGCACGGTTTCCTTGCCGAGAAGGATGCCAGAAGGACCTGCTTGGGCCAGGGTGGCCCTGAAAGGGATTAAATGTGCTGCGGCAGGACAGATGGTTAGATGCGATGGCCCGGCTGTCACTCGGGAAGTGCCGAGTTCTGGCGCTGGGAAGGACATAGCCCCAATCGTCCTTCCTTGGCCTGTTACGTCCCTTCCCCAGATGCTGGGAGCTGGCTCCTGGCGGAGACACGGCCCTGATCCAGGGCGTCCGGTCTCACCTCCTGCG